ACTTATTTGCTTATGGCACTAGCTTATGCCGTTTTGCCTTGGGTCAATGAAGAGCCCTAGCAGGCGGACTATACATGGTGCGTATACTGGACATTACGTGCTTATTCCACGGTAGCTGATTGTCTTCGACTTAACTGTTCATTAAGATTTCGTACAGTACCCTACAATGTTGTGCCTTGGACACTTAATTCTATCAGAAGAAGGAAGATCGTAAACCGGGAAAGGCTTTTGTGTGTTTGACGCTTCGGGTAGTTTTTTCATATACTCAACTTCTGAGATTGAATACCCCGACTCATGGCTCTCGTTATATGCCGCTCTTTTTTTTCTGTGCACATTCTTTTAATGCTGGCTGGGCCGCAGAAACTACCCCGTTGAACGCTCTTCCTTCTTCTGAATTGTCACCCGGGAAATGCATTTTCACTACTTTTAATTGCCTCGATGTTCTGCAGTTTATAATTTCAGAAATTATTACCTTGATTATTCTCTGAAGTTCACGTAATAGAAACTGCATAGAGAATGCTAGGAGACCCACTGTAATTCGGTGAGCGCCTATCTTCTATTGTGCATATTCCCGATCGAAACCGACAAGGTAACAAGTCCGTGTCACAATGGTTGGGGCATCTGACGTCTAGCCAATAGGTTGCAGGTTCGAGCCTCGAATGCCGTAACACCTGCGTTTGGGTATGGCTAACTGATGGCCGCTTACTAATCAGAAGTGGCCGTTCCCGTCTCCCATGTTTTTGTTGGCAATATATTCCAGTCTACAATATACACGCATTTATAAACGCGCATTACATTTCTTAGGAATTCCTGTAAAAATAGAAAGTTACGGATCAGGCTGATTTGGGCCTTGATTAAACAGACGGGAATTAATACATGTTTCTGCTGTTTCTTGCTGAGCAAGTATGCTCACTCAACAAGTATGCTAAATTCTTCTGCAGACTTGAAGAAGCTGTACCGACAGGCGGGAGTTCAAAATCAGGCCACCTGCTTCCTCTTTTCGGACACACAAGTGGCTGAGGAAGCTTTCCTTGAGGATATCAACAATTTGCTGAGCTCAGGTGAAGTTCCGAACCTCTTTAAACCAGACGAATTCGAGGACATTCGGCAGTCTCTGCTTGAGATAGCAAAACACGAGGGGGTTGATGAGGCTCCGCAGGTGAGTCCGCGGCCTTTTCAAGTTAGCTTCCAAAATCCACATGAATATCAGGGCTGAATT